AAAAAAAAAAAAGGACTACAAAGTGGTAAGGGTACACAGTGGTAAGTGGTGAGGGTACAGTGGTAAGAAGGGAGACAGCGATGGATTTTACGTCTGGAGGCCTTTATTTCCTTGGTGAGGTGGGTAGGAGATGGATCAAGAGGCTTGAAGAGAGGAGCAGTGGTTAGGAATGGCATGGAGGGACATGCGACACGGTGCTGACAAGGATGAGTGGGAGGTGGCTGCACTTCTGAGACCTGCTGAGGGTGGAAACCCTCCATTTGCACATGTGGATGGTTTTCTCCAGCAGGGCTCATGAGCCTGGGTGTTGCAGTTGGTGGTGAAGGGGATTAGCACCTGTTACATGTGTCTTACTCTCCTTACCTGACTTATCTCCTTGTTCCTCCCAACAATCCTGCTTACTCAGACTGAACACCGATAAGCAAGTGGCAACTCTTGGATTCATACCCATGTCTAGCTGGATTGCAAGCCCATTGTATGCCTTGCCTCCACCATACCACTGTATACACTCCTGCAGAGGTGAAGACTGGGCCAATGAGTTCTTGTTTGTCCATTGGCTGCCTGGTTTTACCGGGAAGTCAAGGAATAGGGGGGAGAGCATGATGACAAAGTAGTTGAAATTACTGACCACTGGGAATCTATGGAGAAATAAGTGAGGGCCAGTGGGGATGATAAATTGAGGGGACAGAGGGGCTTGGAGGAAGGGGAAGACTGGATGAAGCCCAGGAGACAATCAATGAGAGACTGAACCAGGGCAGGGGCAAAGGGATTGGTGAAGAGGGAAGTATTCTCCAAAACTTTCAATAGGGGGGTGGAAGTGAGAGAAAGTGGTTGAGGTGAAGATGACTGCAGGGTGTCTAGCCTGTACAGTTGGGTGGACAGCCATGCCTTTAACCAAGGCTTTCCACATCATGCCCTGCCTCTCTCTTGCTTACCATGCTGTAGACACAATGGCCAGCACATTCTCACTTCAGGGTCTTTGAAACACTTGGAGCACTCTTTTTCTAGAGATGTACAAGTGGCTCGTTCTCTTCTTCCAAGTCACAGTTCAAACACGCCTCAGAGGGGTCTTTCTTAACCAATCTCTCTAATGTAGTTCTCCTGTTGCTTTATTTTATCTTTTTTTTTTTTTCCAGAACGCTTATCACTACCTGAAATGATCATATATGCTTTTATTTACCTGTTTTTGGTCTGTTTCTGCCACTACAACAGACATTCAAGAGAGCAGGGATATATGGGCCTTCATCCCAGCTTTGTTTTCTGACACCTGGAACAATGCCTGGCACACAGTAGACTTTCATGAAATACTGAGTAAGAGAAAGGAAAGAAAAGGGACACCTGGCTGGCTCAGTTGGTTAAGCATCTGCCTTTTGCTCAGGTCATGATCCCAGGGTCCTGGGATGGAGTCCCGCACCAGGCTGTCTGCTCAGTAGGGAAGTCTGCTTCTCCCTCTCCCTCTGTCTGCCGCTCCCCTGCTTGTGCTCTCTCTCTGTCAAATAAATAAATAAAATCTTAAAAAAAAAAAAAAAAGGAAGGAAGGGAGGCAGGAAGGGGAAGCATGTTTGGGGAAGGGTACATGTTCAGTGTTGGAATGCTGACTTGAGGTGCCTCAGAGACAGCCAGGAGGTGACATGCAGTGGGCAATTGGGAAGCAGAGTGGGAGCTCAGGAATAGGTTGTCCCGTGCCCATGAAGAAGGTGGGCTCCCGAGGCACAGTAGTACAAGCACCTCCTTTCACAGGCTGACCGCCCCTTCAAGGCCAGCACTGGGAGTTGACTGGTTTGGGGCCCAGTGGGAAAAAGGGTCCCTCTGGGTTTGTTATGCTGAAGCTGGGTCAGAGTTTTTCTCACTCCTCGCTTTTCTGTTTCCCATTATTGCTGCTGCCCAGCTGTGGCCATTTTCTAACCTCCTTCCTTGTCAGCTGCAAGACCCTGGAGTCTGAATGCAGACTAAATCCTGTCGTCCCCTTTATCTCTAAGAATATCTCACCCACATCCAACTCACAGAGGTGTGAATCTAGCTTCACCCAGAAGCTGGACTTAGTTTTACTAAATTAGGAAACACTTGTCCCTTGAGCTTGGCTCCTGCCCCATTTCAGTTGGCCATGCAGCCCGAAGCTCCCACCAGGCCATTCAGCAGACCCTGCTGCCCTCTTTTTGCAGGGTCTCCAGCTGCTGAGCAGCTCCAGGACATCCTGGGGGAGGAAGATGAGGCTCCCAACCCCACCCTCTTCACAGAGATGGACACCCTGCAGCACGACGGAGACCAGATGGAGTGGAAAGAGTCAGCCAGGTGAGGCAGAGTCCCAGGGGAAGGGAGAAGGTGGCTTCCCACTGCAATCTGCCTGGGGCCTAGGCTGAGCTGACTCTCCTGGTGGGAAGGACCATTGACCAGTGGCATCTTGCACATTGCGTTCTGCTGGGACACTCCCTGGCCCCTAAAGACCTCCACATCTGCCTGGCTTGGTGTCTAGAACTGGGCTGGATACTAAGGAGCAAACAGACACTTACCACTTTGTCTTTATTCTCAAATTAAAATCCACGTGGGAAGGTAGTACAGATACCCATGAGGCTGTGAGAGAATAATACAAGGACATATATACTTTCTTGTCAAATGGTTCAAACTAAATGCCATACGAGAAGGGAAAGCACCAAGGGGGCTAGGGTAGGCAGGAAGGGCTTCCCGGAGGAAGGAAAATGTATGTCATGAAAAATCCAGGTGGAGTGGTCCAGTGGGCCTCTGAAGAAAAGAGACTCAGCAGAGTTTGGGGTGGGACAAGCAGAGTGGAGCTCTAGAGGTGCATGTGGGGGACAGAGGAACTGTGTATATAGGGGCAGTAGAAGGAGAAGAGTCAGAGGGCTGTTGGGGAACCATGTGGTAAAGACATGGAGCCAAGGGAGGATTGTAGTAAGGAGTAGTGCTGGCCATACCCAGTACCTGGGACAGGGTGGCCTTCTAACTGAACTGGACTGGTCAGCAACACCAAATGCTGCCAAGAGTCTAAGGAAAAGGTAGGCTATGGTAGGAGGCAGCAAGAAGGGCTGGTGAGAGAGGAGGGACCCTGGGAAGGAGGTTGAGAAAGTCCAAAAAGTGGGCTATACCAATGTTTCTCAACCAGTTTTGTTTGTTTTTTTTTAAAGTGTGCTCCCACCCCCAAGAAATTTTAATTTAAATTAACTTTATATAAATTAGTATTTGATTTAATTTATTTCTAATTAGAGGAATTAAATACTAAGGAACATGATTCTGTCAGGTTGGCTTGAACTTTGGGATGCCATAAACCATGGTAATATCTAAAACTTTTTGCACCCCCAAGACCCCTTTGGGGCTGCTGTTGCCCCAGTTGAGAATGCCTGGACTAACTGCTACCTGTATCTGGGACTGGCTCTGCCTAGGGGGCCACCAGGATGCCCAGATCCTTGCAGCTGCTCCACCCATGGCCTGGGCTCCTCCCTCATCCACCAACCTCACTCACCTGGGCAGTTGCTCTGTAGAGTGAGGAAGAGCAGGTTTGGACATCCCCAAGCCTCCCCCTTCTAATCTCTCCTGGAAGAAAGGCCCCTGGGTGGACTACCAAATCCCTGCAGGCTTCCAGGAAGGAATGAATTCTAGCCTCATGGCCTGCCCCAATCCCTGTATGGAAGCCCTTGAGCCTCTATTTACCAGCCATTCAGTGAGCCCTTACTATATGCTAAATAATTTACAGGCTTATCTCACGCAAGCTGCACAATGACCCTGAGGAGGTGGGAGCTATTATTATCCCCATTTTATAGATGAGGATACTGAGGTTTAGAGGGGGAAATAGCTTACAAGGGTCAGAGTGTACAGGCTGCTGAGTCTGGGTTCTAGCCCAGGCCTGTCTGACCCTAGCTTGAGGGCTTATGCACTTTGTCGTGCTTTCTCCGTTTTCTCAGCTACCTCCCTCCCCTTCCTCAAACTTGCAGGGACTCGGTTTGGGTTCCCATGGAAATAGAGTCTGGAGGCAATTCCACTGGGATGAGAAATAGAGACAGCCACAGAGACCGGGGCATCTATTCAGGGCTGAGAAGAGAGGGTAGGACATTTTAAATAGAGCCCAGTCTGGGTTATGGTGGCTTAATTCCTCTGAGGAGCTGGTGCTTCCCCTCCCTTTGTAGTCCAAGGCGGGGAAATAGAAGGAATGTTGAGAAGGGCCTTCTCAGAGACCCAGTAAGAAGAGAGTGTTCTCTCCACTGGGCAAGTGCTGCATCCAGAACCCCTGGCAACAAATGCCAGGACCAGACCTTCTATGAGAGCCTATCATGCATGCCCACAGAGCCCTTGCTAAGAATGCCTCAGGGCGCTCAGAGACCTGATTGTCTGTCACCAACCACAGACAAAATATTGTTTCTGGTCTCTCTCAGAATGGATCCATTGAGGCTTCTGCACTCTAGACCCTGTAATGAAACTGATAAACTGTATGAGATAATATTTCTAGAAGGAGGCTCCTCCTGAAATAGAAAAGGGTCTGATCTGACAGTTACCATCTGCAAGCTGGTAGGTTTCCCTGCAAGGTAGGCTTTCTGAGGACAGCATCTGAGGTGACCCTGGAAGGGTCCTGAGTGGACCTCAAACCAATAGTGAGAGGAAAGTGATGGCTAGGGACGCCTGGGTGGCTCAGTCGGGTAAGCGTCTGCCTTCAGCTCAG